AGATTAAACATTCATTTTTTAGTAAAATAATATTGATAGTACAGATAATATAGAGATACAGAATGAAAAAACTAGGGAAACAGAGCTAAAAAGTGCGAAAAAATAAAATTTCGGCCGTTTATGTAAAAATATTTGTTTATAAAAAAAAAATCTGACTTGAAAAAAAAAACACGGAAAAAAAATATGTTTTTGTACAATATCCGAAAAATATTTGGTGAAAATTTCAGAACTCTACGTTCAACACTCTCCGATGGATCGATTTTTCCCTAATTTTTCCCTAAAAAAGCATTTTTTTCAGCTTAGATTTGTTATAAATAATCACAAATGAATAATTGGATATAAAAACCTATTCGAGTATGTTGAACAACTATTTAGTTATCTGGAAAACTCAAATCCTCGATTAGTCCTTCAAAATTATGTGATTTACAACGCAAAATTGAATCAAGAAAAGGTGGCAAGTACTCTTCCTACTAACAGTGAAAGGGTTAACGAACCATTTGTCGCAGTTACTAGTGTTTTGTTAACCCAGCCAAGCCTTCTTTCTCAGTGTGTATAACATTCTCGGTCGCTGTTAGAATTTATCTCCGAGCCCCGTTCATCCTCGCAGCGCGTCGAGTCGATCCTGCGGCCGATCCCACGTCCAGCCGTCCCGGCGATCGCTTCGATCGTCGCTCACGGACCTTCCTCAAAAATCACAGCGTATAATCGCGCGATCGCGCGAGAATCGCGGGAACGTCCAAGGCAGAGAGAGAGAGAGAGAGAGAGAGAGAGAGAGAGAGAGAGAGAGAGAGAGAGAGAGAGAGAGAGGGAGGGAGGGAGAGAGATCCATTCTTGCTCAACATCCCGTATAGAGACGCGGCTACTCGGTAGGAGCTACCCGCAGCCAACCGGGCATCAATATTAATGGAGCTATGCCGCGTTTAGGGTGGAATAATGTATAGCGATCGCATTGGAGAAGTGCACGTCGAGATAGTGTGCGAGGGCGCACGCACACACATGCAAATGCACAGCCGCGCGCGGTCCCATACACAATGGGCGAGGCGCGCGCGTGCGCGCGCTATCGGTATCACGACCATAATGTGTCACCACGATCGAGTGGCTCGCGTAATTTCAATCGCGGCGAAACGCATTACCGTGTCATTACGCCGCGACGTAATGATGTGTACTAATGCGTCGCGCGCTCGGCTGTGTGCGAGAGCGCGAGATTTCGGAGGAGGTCGCGCGGCGCGTTCGACTTGTCGGACGATAACGCCGCTGTGGTGAGAGTCGCGAGATCGTGCTGCTCGTAAAATGGCGATCGGCACAGCACACCTGAACGCCGCGGCCGCTGCAAATTGGTCGTATGAAATTTCCGCCGGACTCGATATATAAAAACGGCGCTCGGGCGCGGCAGGCTCGATTAATGCGATCGAGCTGGCGCGGATTTGTGACGATAGCCATAATTTCCGGTCGTATAAACTCGCAGGTCTGCGCGGCTTCGGTAGGCAATGCAAATTCGCTATTTTATTGTTTAATCGGCTAATGCGCTTTAATCGATTACACCGGTCGCTGCGCCTTCGCGCCACTCTTTATCGCCGCTTTGCGAGCGTCCCGCGTCCCGCGCATTTTACTTCGGGTGTTTCGCTCGCGACGCGGCGCGGTAATTCATGTGCCGTGGCTAGCCGTGGGCTAAGTAAAAATTCCGCGGCGTTAAGATTGTATATAGCCGTATATAGAGAGAGATCCCCGGGATATACTTTTCTTGAGAGTACGACTGCGGGAGGAAGATATAAATTCCAACGAGGCGGCCAGAGATATACGCGCTGTCTCGGAAGCAAGATGTCGCGCGTTTTATGGTGTGTAATTTCAATAACGACGAGTGTATTATCCTGTCGGAATATATGCCGCGGTAAATCTGCCCTTCGCCTATCGATTCGCGTGGCACCGGCGCTGGCTGAATCGTGCAAAATGACGACGGCGAAATTTATACAAGTCGGCGGGTCTTCCTCTCGGCTCATTCTATCGACCGCTCTCTTACGCCAGGACCGAATACGCACCGGAAGAAGCGCAATGCTCTTGGCTCCCCCCATCGGGAAATATTACTGGGTTGCCCGGAAAGTAATTTCGATTTTTTGCATGAAAATGAAAGATGATATTTCCGACAGGAAGAAAAATTTTATTCTGTTAAGTATTGACTGACCATTTTGTTCCAATATCTTTTGCCATCTTTGAGGTAATAACATAATTCCACGCTCATAGGACTTCTAGTCCTTATTGGCAAGAAACTGAATTGAGTGGTTTCTGACATCTTCATTTGAATCGAAATTTTTACCATCCGAAGAATTTTGCAGTGACCGAAACAAGTGACAATCGGATGGTGCCAGATCAAGTGAATATGGTGGATGCGGTAGAAAAATCTCATCCAAACGCTAACAGCTTCTGATGAGTCATAAACTTGTGTAAGATCTGGCGTTGTCATGATGAAACACAATACCTTTTCCGTTCGCCAATTCCGATCACTTCTGCTTCATGGAATCATTCAATTTGTCCAATTGATGACAATACACATTCGAATCAATCGTTGTTTGGTAGCGGCTCAAAAAAAGCCATTCCTTTCCAATCCTACCAAACAGAGCATCACTTTCTTTTGATGGATATCAGCTTTTAATGTGCTTTGAGCTGGTTCATCACGTTTGCTCCACGTTTGATCTTTAGCGCTTAATATTGTTGTACACAATCCATTTTTCATCTCCAAATGCGAGTCGCTTCAGAAATGGATCGTTTTCCTCAAGTTTCAACAGCAAATCGCAGATGGTAATGCGACGAATCAAATCTCTTTTTTTGAGAACCAGTGAAACCCAAATATATCGAGCTTTGAAACGAAACCAAGCTGTTTCAAATGCTCATACACGGTCGAATTCGATAAATTTAATCTCTCAGCAATTTCCCGCGTTGTTAAATAACCATTTGCGTCCACCAATGCCTTTATTTGGTTATCATCAGTCTCAACTGGCCTTCTAGAACGTGATGCATTTTTAAGGTCGAAATTCCCAGAACGAAATTTCGAAAACCAATTCTGACACTGGCGTTCAGTCAACACATTCTCTCCATACGCGGCACATAATTCTTTTCTCGCTTGCGCTGCATTTTTGCCTTTACAGTAATAAAAAGCAAAATATGACGAGAATGTTCACGTTGGTTTTCCATTTTTGATGCGACGCACTAAACAAAACAACTTGACAGATTCCAAAACAATTTTTTTTCGAATGAAGCTTGAAATGTGCGTTGTAAAAGTGTAAAATGATTTTGGTAAGAAAAATTTTTTAATTTTAAAATGGTTTGGAATAAGAATTAACTGCTTAAAAAGGCAATTAATTTGTAAAAAGCGAAATTATTTCCCGAACAACCCAATAATTTCCCTTCGATTAACAAGTCGAGTGGAGAGTATGAGAATTTTCTCTTGTCGTTTCTCTTTTTTCTCAACTTGAGAGAACTATCGGCACCCTGACATTTTGGTGAAGGAAATGGGATTTTCGTCTCCCCCGCACGTCGTCGATTTCGATATTCAATTTTTTTAACGCACCGGCGAAGCGATTTATCGCGACGGGACGTCGAATTCTTCGGCAGAGAAAATTGCTAGTCTCGCGCTGCAGAAATTGCGGGACTTTCCTACTCGACGGCCAAGAATCTTCATGACGGCGCGGAAACGCCAACGAGAAATTAAGAAAGATACATTAAATACGCATTTACGAGAACTTTCGAGACCTGGCGCGCGCCGTGAAGCTCGGGAACCGCCCGATGACATTTCAGTGAGCTTTCCTTCGACGAATTCGGAACTTTTCCTCTTTTCCTCTCCCCTCGGTCTCTCTCTCTCTCTCTCTCTCTCTCTCTCTCTCTCTCTCTCTCTCTCTCTCTCTCTCTCTCTCTCTTTCCGCTCAACGTTGATTTCGATATTAAATTTTCCAATGTAACGACAAAAACTGATTTATTGCGACGGGACGTCGATATCAACTTCTCGTCGGGAGAAAATCGCGCGGCGCGGAAATTGCGCGCGCGCGACTTTCCCCGCCCGACGTGCCGGGCGCGAAGGGACATTCCCGAAGATGGGAATTTTCGAATATATTTTCATACCCCGTCGTAAACTCACACCGCAGCGGCGGCGCCTGTCGGAAGCGACTTCGCGTCCGGGCGAGCGCCGGAGAAAGCGCGGATATGAAATTTGGACTACGGAATTTCGATTGGCTCTATCGACGCGTCCTTTGCAAATTAGCTTAGCCGCGAGGAGGGCGAGGAGAAACGACAGGGGCCGGGGGTGTAGGAAAGCGGGGAGGGCAGGGAAGCAGAGAATTCAAATTTAATCATGCGGCAGCCTTTGCAGTTCCACCAGGAGCTTGCCTACACGGGAAGTGGCATTATTAGCTTTCGAATCGAACCAATCAAGTCGCTTCCTTATTAAGCCCCGCGGCTTTCTCCTCTCTCTCTCTCTCTCTCTCTCCTTCGCTCCCCCATTCCTGTCTCGGTTTCCCGTCATACGGCAGGAACGAATCTGCGGAACGTCCTCCTCCGTTCCTTGCGCGTATTATTGTCCCTTTTTTCTCACGCCTTGTCGCACCTGTCGCGCGCGAGCGCCGATTGATAGGACCGAATCGCGATTAAAAGTGACGAGGGACTTTTTCCTTCTTCCGGAAGAAACGTCGCTAGGACGTGTGCACGTGCACATGCTTCATCGTCGCACTCGAGGTTGAGAAAAGGAAGAAGAAGGGAAAGGCGCGCGTGCGTATGCGAAAGTATAACATGATTAAAAGGGGTTCTGTCTGGCTCGGTTTCCTCGTTTGTCTCGAGCAATTTCGCCGAGACGCAGGTAGGAAGTCTTCGGTCATCGCGGACGGACGCGATCGATGGCGATTTTAATTGCTAATTAAGCACGGCGCCAGTTAGACGGATATACGGTATAGTTCCGCGCTTAATCTCGCGATAAGACGATAAGACGATAGGGGTTGCTGCGCGTATATAACGCTTACCCGTTGGTGGTCGAGTCGAAAACGTCGTTGTAGTCCTCGTCGGTGCTGTAGTCCTGCACGTCGGTGTCCGCATCCTCGACGTCGCCGTTCCCGCCTGCGAGCAAAAAAGATATTTTCATAATTTCGTTTCGTTAATCCGCGCGCGCGCGCGCGCGCGGCGGTTGTTCCAGCCGCGATGATTACGCATGCCGCGTCGGTGGAACGCGGAACGGAACGATATTTCAATAATTTACGTTGTATCAACATGGTCGGCGGCGCTTCCGCGAAATGGTAACGGCAATATAAATCTCCGCGCGGATTTAAATATGATTACACCCATAAAAATATTATAGACATTTACAAGCTTCATGCAATTAACGATAATTCTTCCCGAGGGGCGGGAGGGGAGTTTTATATTTCATAACTTTTGCGGATTTATCGTGACTTCATTCGCGATAATACGCGTCTCACGCGCATGAATTATTAAAAGCTCTTTACATCGAGGCGTGTTCGTATAATAAAATGTAGCGAAAACGCCGCTGAAATAATATTAATGCTAATGCCCCAATAAATTACCTTCAATTACGCTTCCGCGCGGGAAGCTAGAAACCAGTGTTATCAGACGCGGCAATTTAAGTGAAAAAGAAGAATCAAGGACGATAGAAGAAAGGCGCTTCGGGCCGCCGTAAAATCTTCCAATTGTGAGCGGCCGGCCTCGGGAATCGCAGGCATTCGCAGTCCCGGGTCTTTGCCGCGCCGATAAAGACGGCAATTAGCGGCAATTCTTCCCCGCGAGCTTTTTCTCGCGGTTTCTTGCGAAGTTCGCCGTGAAGTCAACCATTAGGGATTCAATATTGATGTTAAATGGAGAGCGGATCAAGTTCTGCCGGAGGATTAAATTAATCCTCTTGCGCGCTTCTGCACGCGCGCGCGCACACTCGATTTGACCTTAATAGAACTTTGCTACTTAATTTTCAACTCCGTCGCGATCAAATTTCAGCCCAACGGCGAGTGGATACTTAATGAAGTATCAGAAAGTGCGGCGAAATACCGCTTTTTGCTCCCTCGCCGACGTTCCCATGTTGCCGGTCGGCCTGCGACCGTGCCGACGTGAATTTTCCGTCGATCTCGGAAAACTCGCAAGAGGGTTAACGGCGTCGGATTCCCGACATTCCGTCGATTAAATTACCGCCGGTACAACGGACATATTTGCCCGGAGTCGGACGGTAATCTCCGTGCACACACAATCATAACTCGCTCGCACGTCTTCCGGTTGCCTAGCCGGTAATATATTTGATTAGACGGTGCCGCGCCGAGAGAGAGAGAGAGAGAGAGAGAGAGAGACAAACGATGCCGTCGTTCGTCGGTTTCGCGAGATTAATCTGTGAATCGTGATTAAGGCCGGCACGCCGCGCGCCGGCTTGTTAGCGCGGTAATGAATAATCCGCGAAGGCGAAAGGTTTAATATCGAATCCCGTGGGACAGGGACGCGTACGGCGCACGCGACGTTGCTCATCGCGTTGCAAATGAAGAGTTAACACAGAAGGCGCCGTACTTGTGTGACTGGCATATTTACAGAAAATTATATTAGCATTGTAAAAGCCCGCGCGATGTGCCGCCCGGCGTGAATGGCGGAACGCGTCTGACGGGGCGGGGGCGGGGACGCGCGTGAGGAATATTTTTCCTCCTCCGTTTTCTTCCCCCTCCCCCCCTCTCTTACCCCAGAGTGTAAATAAAATGTATAAAACATGCTTGGCGGAAATACAAAAAATACAACGCACAAAATCACGTAAGCGGATTTTCTTCCGGCGGCTATCTTCTCCCGCGTGGCACCGCGTGACATCGTCGAAATATTAGGAGTGTGACTTACAAGGGACATTCGGCAACGCGGAAATTCAAAAAAATCTGAAACTCTGCATAATTGTAGAGCAGATATATCTAATAACAAAACAATTTTTCGTTGGTGCCCAAAAACGGTTTTAAGGGTGGAAACAACCCCTTGAACAAAGTTGATTTTTGTCTTTCTAAGCGAATATTATCGAAACTATTAAAGATATGAAAAAATGTTTTAGACAAAAATTTTATGGTTTTAAAAGTACTTTATTATGCTATATTTAGATTTTTTAAAAATGTAAAATTGTGTATAAAATACCCCCCCCTCCTTCTCTTTTTTCAAATTGTTAAAATCAATTGTCCAACCAAAATAAAGCTTATTTTATGACAAATTCAACCATATATAATAACATTATGTTTGGAAAAGGCAATATTGAAAAAAAAATTAAACATGCTCTTATATGTATGCTACGCGTACCAAACTTAAGGATTCGCTACTTGACGATGGCATTTCTTTCTTCCTCAAATCTTCCTCATAATTGCAAACTGTAAAAGATAAGAAAGGAAGAAAATAGAAAATCTAAAAAAGCAATAAAGTTGATGTTAAGAAGTAAGTAGGAGAAAAATAGCATGATAAGGATACAGTCACTAATATTTAAAAATGTTATAAATTATAAAATTTCACGTAATAGACGTTTATTTTGCCAACATTGCGGCTACCTTTTTCATTAATTTAAACGACACGCGTAAATATAAATAAATATGTGTGTGTGTGTATGTGTGTTTTTGTACGTGCGCACGTGTGTGTACATCATGGCAACATGCAAAACACTTGTCACAAGTTTTATGACTGTGCGACCAAAATAGCACTCTTTATCAAATACAGTGCAATCAAGGTTCATTATATTGACATATGTTATCTTCATTCATTTGCATATAAAAGCTGTCCATTTTGGAATACATTTCAGTGTTATTGAAGCAGTTATTGAAGCAGTACGTATATTATTATTGCTGTGAGAAATGTTTAATTAAAATATCCTTAAGATTTGTATCATAATGTCAGTAATAAATCCAGCTAATGTTATTAATTTGTTAATTGCGACATTTCATTTCACAAATATTGCAATAACTCCTGTTAATCATCAAGAGGTGGAACTCCATGATACAATTACTGATTTAATAAAGAGTGCTATACATCACGATATTACGATCGAACATAAGTGGGGACTTGATTTTGACGATCCATCAGAACCGCATGACGTACAATTTGTAGATGTGTACGATATTGATGCTGAAGAAGATAATTATGGAAATGAAGTTTGCACTGTGGATGATGAAGGTGGAAATGTAAACTTAAATTATAAGAAAAAGGCAATCGAATTTTGGAAGAGTGGAAAGAAAGGACATTTATCTCTTACTTCTGTACAACATCGTTTTAGAAAAGTAAAGTTTAATTAAAAAATAAGAAGAATAATATATAGTAAAATACTTGAGGCTTTTACGGTGTACAGTGACCGGCAGTGATTCGTTCCGCGACAGAGAGAACTCTATTTCCCCTCTCGCGGAACGCATCATTGTCGGTCATTGTACATACAGCTTTGACTATAAGTATAAAGCATCCCAAAAAATTTATTTAAATTGTGTAACAAAAACATACTATATGAATATATGGAGAACATAATATAGTATACGAGTATATGGAAAAATAATATAATAAAAAAATATAATATAAGAATATGTGGAAAATAATATTTATTTTACAATATTTATTGTAATATAATATAATATTAATATAATATAAATTATAATATAAATATAATATACATAAATATAATATACACATTATATTATAAAATATTAATATAATATTTATTGTAAAGAGATTATATATTTACTATGAGTATATGCATTGATTTCTAGGAAAATACAATGAGTTAGAGATGCTTTATACTTATGACCAAAGCTGTAAATTATATAGTTAGAGTCGCGTTGTTTTTTATTTTAAGTTTTACAATTTGATGTTTCGTGAACATTTAATTCGTATATAACTTCTTTTATTTTTGAATTCGAATTGTTTAATATTGAGATTTGTTTTCTTCTAGGTAAAATCTATTCAACAATTGCACAGATGGCAAGAACATGTAATGCGTGGGGGTTCAAATACAGACAAACTTGTAGTTATTGCTGAATATGTTCTTATAAAATTCCAAGAAGCTGTTAATAGAGGACTTATTATTCATGATATAAATCTGCGAAAATGGGCACTAGAAGCAAAGGAACAAGTGGATTTTTCTTCATTTAAAGCAGGAAATTGGTGGATATGGAATTTTAAAAAGGCACATCGTATTACATCACGTAAAATAACTGCATTTAAAACGCGGTCTTCTCATTTAACTGATCTAACTATACGTCAAAACGCTGAGGAATTTGTAAATACAGTAAAGCCACATATTAATGTAATCGGTGCTGAATCAACTTATCATGCGGACGAAAGTGGCTTTAATTTAGAAATACATGCAGGAAGAACATTAGCTAATGTAGGAGTGAAGACAGTTGGAGCTACTATCCAATCTTTATCTGCTATGACTCATAGCTACACCATTATGCCTATTATATCTGCAGATGGACATCTCCTGTCGCCTTTGTATATAGTATTAAAAGAATCTACTGGTGTTTTTGGACCACAAGTAGAACAAACTCTTTTTAGACCAGTGAATATTTACATTGCGGCTTCAAAATCAGGGAAATTGACAACTGAACATTTCAAAAATTGGTTCCAAGAAGTGTATCTACCAAACACTGGAGAGAAAAGTATACTACTGCTTGATTCATGGACAGGACATTGCCCGAACCAATTGGAAGAACTTGTACCAAAAGACAAACATGTAAATATTCTAACAATACCAAAAAAAACAACTGCTTCTATACAGCCATTAGATGTTTCTGGTTTCAGAATCTGGAAAAATTTTGTTCGAAGCTTTTCTGATAGTGTTATTATAAATAATTATGACATAAATTTACATTTACGTAATAACATAATAAAATTGCAATCTTTAACGCACAATCAACTGTCTTCTCCAAGATTTCGAAATTTATTTAGATATAGCTGGTATAAAAGTGGTTATTTATCAACACGGCCTGAAAAATTTCATAATCCAATCGATTATTGTTATTTTAAAGAAGAAAAACGTATACCAAAATGTAGCATTTGTGGTAAAATGGCTTTTATACGTTGTGCATGGTGCAAGCAATATTTTTGTTTTGAAC